ATTTTCAATCGGATACTGAGGCAAAATTTTTGCGTTAAAATGCATCGAATACCGGATTTATCGAATACCGATGCCATCAAATACCGGAGGTCCACTGTGCTACATTATCGTGCTTTGTGGCCTTAACAATTTCCTCCCATAGTAGTCAACCTTGGTCCCTATCTAAGTTTGGGGGACGGTATATTACTCCTAAAATCAATTTTTCATGCCCCTCTGAAAATTCTATCCAAACAGACTCTGTATATGTTACTTCAGACTTAATACCCGTTTTTATGCAACAGTTCAAGTGATCTCAGACATACAGTGCCACCCCACCCCCTTCCCAATACTTCTGTCTACTTGGAACAATTTAAAAACCTGAACATGACATTCCGCAGGCATGTCCCGACTTTTTGAATTAAACCATGTCTCAGTTATGGCAAATACATCAATGTTACCTGCAGTAGCAACTAATCTCAACTCGTCCATCTTATTCCTAGCACTATGGCTATTACCATAATGTATTTAAAGACCCTCCTTTTTCGTTACCTTTCCTGCTCATTTCTGTTTTTCCACTAAACCCATTACTGTCCTTGTCACCTAGTGCCACTGGCTCTCCAATATCCACCTCATTCTGCCTATTACTAGTTTCCCTAGAACTCATAATATTACTACACTGGGACTTCACTGTTTTCCCGTCAAAACCCATACCACTAACTATTCCTAGTTTAAAAGCCTAACAGCCTCTTCCACTGCAGTTGCCAGTGCCACCACCCCAGCCCTAGATAAGTGGACCCCATCCCTGGCATACATGTCATTTCTGCCATAGAAGAGATCCCAGTTATCAAAGAATGTTACTGTATTTTCCTTACAGTATTTGTCCAGCCAGTAACTGACACCAATTGCCCTGGACAACCATTCATTTCCAACTCCTCTCCTTGGCAAAATACCACATATGACAGGGTTCCCACCCTTCCTCCTGATTATCTCTACTGCTGACCTATACCTGCTAATCAGGTCCTCACTCCTATGTCTGCCAACATCGTTGCCTCCAGCACTGAGACAGATAATAGGATTGCTCTCATGATGTCATCCAGACGGCTAACAATATCCTTCATCCCAGCCCCAGGAAAACACACCCTCTGCCTCCTACTCCTATCCTTCAAGCAGAAGGCCCTATCCATGTACCTAACCTGGATATCCCCAACAACAACGTTTTTACCTTCCTTGGTGTCGTTCGTCGTGCTATTCCCAGTAGCCAACTCACATTCATCAGGTAGCACGGAGAATGGGTTCGATGTTTCCACAACAGTTTCCTGGATCTTCGTTGATTCTACCTCTCCATCCATCCTCTTGATTCTTAACTTTGTTCCATGCTTTCCTGCCACTGTCCAGGTTCCTCTCTTGACTTGAGGATTCTCAACAGGAGGATTGCTACGAATCTTCTTGTTTTCCTCAATCAGTTGTTGTATCTCAAGCTTAGCCATCCTCAGTTCTTCCTTTAGCTGCTGGTAGAGTTGCTCAAGAGAGGACATCTTGTTCAGATTCACAGAGAGCACACAAGACACGTCTTCACAGAGTTAAGTACAGGTCAACACTGAGTGGTGGACAAATATGTGAGTGGGAGGAGCATGAATGTATATACAATACATATACATGTTTTACGATGTTTTCATATGTTTTGCGATTGTTCATGGTTCAATAGGTTAAGGAAGCAGTATTGTATTAGATTTCCCTACAATATACAGTGGACCCCCGCATAACGATATTAATCCGTTCATGAGAGCTCATTGTTATGCGAAATTATCGTTATGCGAATGAATTTTCCCCATAAGAAATAATGGAAATCAAATTAATCCGTGCAAGACACCCAAAAGTATTTAAAAAAAAATTTTACCACATGAAATATACATTTTCCTACATACTAAGAGAAGGATACATGCATAATAGTAGAGTAGTACATGCACAGTATATATTGTGCATGTACTACTCTACTAAATGAAGAATAAATGACACTTACCTTTATTGAAGATGCAGCAATGACTGATGAGACACTGTGTCCTGGGAGTGCCTTTTCCTCCTGAGTACTGTAGGTCCTGTTTGGCATTTTCTTCCAGAACATGCCTTATCACACTGTGTATGCCACTACGATTCTTAAATCTCTCAAATCAACCTTTGCTGGCTTTAAATTCACCAATATGAGCACTAGTTCCAGGCGTTTTTCCCTGTTCACCTGGGTGTTAGTCGACTGGTGTGGGTTGCATCCTGGGAGACAAGATTAAGGACCCCAATGGAAATAAGTTAGACAGTCTTCGATGACACTGACTTTTTTGGGTTATCCTGGGTGGCTAACCCTCTGGGGGTTTAAATTTTTTCTTGGGATTCTCAATAAGCCACACCAACAACGGTGCTACAGCAGCAGCAGCAGCTGACAGTGCTACAGCAGCAGCAGACGATGCTATAGCAGCAGCAGACGGTACTACAGCAGCAGCAGCAGCTGACGGTGGTACAGCAGCAGCAGCAGCTGACAGTGCTACAGCAGCAGCAGCAGCTGACAGTGCTACAACAGCAGCAGCAGCTGACAGTGCTACAGCAGCAGCAGCAGCTGACAGTGCTACAGCAGCAGCAGACAATGCTACAGCAGCAGCAGACGGTACTACAACAGCAGCAGCAGCAGCAGCAGCAGCTGACAGTGCAGCAGCAGCTGACAGTGCTACAGCAGCAGCAGACGATGCTACAGCAGCAGCAGACGATGCTACAGCAGCAGCAGACGGTACTACAGCAGCAGCAGCAGCAGCAGACGGTACTACAGCAGCAGCTGACGGTGGTACAGCAGCAGCAGCTGACGGTGCTACAGCAGCAGCAGCAGCAGCTGATAGTGCTACAGCAGCAGCAGCAGCTGACAGTGCAGCAGCAGCAGCAGCTGACGGTGGTACAGCAGCAGCAGCAGCTGATGGTGCTACAGCAGCAGCAGCTGACAGTGCTACAGCAGCAGCAGCATCAGCAGTTGACCATGGTACCACAGTACAGTGGACCCCCGGTTAACGATATTTTTTCACTCCAGAAGTATGTTCAGGTGCGAGTACTGACCGAATTTGTTCCCTTAAGAAATATTGTGAAGTAGATTAGTCCATTTCAGACCCCCAAACATACACGTACAAATGCACTTACATAAATACACTTACATAATTGGTCACATTCGGAGGTAATCGTTATGCGGGGGTCCACTGTATTTCGATAATATTTCTCACCCTTTTTACCACAGGGTTGGCACTAGAAGCTTTCTTGGGGCCCATGGTCACTTATTTTGCAGATAAAATCACCAAAAACACTGTAATAATATGAAATGTTACGATTGTATGCTTGGATGTTACCGCGGAGGCTGGCTTGTAAACAATGCCACCGGCGGAACATGTGAGGCTGGCTTAGGCCGCACATTAGACGCGTCTCGGACGAATAGTGTTGAGCGGGTTTTTTAGCGGTATGTGAGGCAAAATCTTAGCGATAAAATGTATCGGTATGTGGATTTAACGTTATGTGATGCCAACGGTATGCGGGGGTCCACTGTATTGGGGCACCAAACATTTGCAATTTTTCAACATTGGTGAGGCTCTTGATCCCCAACCCTCACGAATGTTGAGGGAGACTTGTATAAAAAAAACCTTGATAATAACCATTGTGTAACATCTTTTCAATTTTGATACCACTGGCAGTGTCATCCTGCCAGAATGTTCTATAATGTATGCCCTAAGTAAAGAGAAACAATTCTGGAACATGTATAATGCATGTTTGGCAGGCCAGCTGGTTGGGTGGGTGGCTGGCTGGCGGTATGCTGGCTGGCTGATTTGCTTTGACTGTCTCTATCTCCAGTCTGTTTGTATCTATCTCTGTCTCTGTCTATCTGTGTTTCTATCTGTGTCTCTATCTCTGTCTCTGTCTGTCTCTGTCTCTATCTCACAGGTACACATAAATAGTTATACATAGTGTAAATTACCTAGGATAACCCAAAAAATCCAGACAAAGTGCTATACTATGCTTGTAGATATAAGGCATAATAAGCATGACTGGCAAGTAACACACATTTTCACTTGTTCAGGAATCAGACGTGACGACTCTGCATAGTGTAATACCTGTTGGTTCATGAGCAGCTCTTTCTCTGAGACAGAGAGACAAGTAGAGAGACAGGAAAACAGAAACACAGATAAGCAGAGAGAGAGATAAACAGACAGAGCTAGACAGACAGATAGAAACAGACAGACATGTTTACATGTAACAGTGAAAAACAAAACCAAGGCAGTGCATGATAATCAAATGTCACTTTACAAGTATCACTCCACTGGCAGTGGAGTGACACTCATCTTACACTGTGCTTCAAGGAGCTTCATATATACCCCAGCATTTCTAAAACATTGCTGGGACCTGGCAAAGAAGGCAAAAATAATTTCTTATTTTTAAATGCATTTTTCTTATTTAAAAGCCCATAACTCAAAAATTGGGGTGTTTTTTGGGGGGCTGGAATGGATTAATGGCATTTCAATTAATTTCAATGAGGAAAATTGATTTAACATACGAGCAAATTGAGTTATGAGCTTGGTCACAGAACGATGATCTGCATGGATTTAGAGAGTGGTTGCGTGAGTGATGAGAGTCCATGGAAACAATTTGTTGCTGTCATTCCTCACCATACTCCCACATCTTACTTATTGTCACATTCCCTAACACAACAGTTTGGATTGACCCAGTAATCTTGACCGACAGATTTGCACTGATCATATAGTTCTAGCCTCTGGCAACTCCTTTCACCATGACACAATGTGAAAAGTTATCAAAAATTCTCTACTGTAGCACCATACTCAGGACAGCATACAATTTCAGTTTATATCTATCTTATGTGGTTAGGGTAAAAAAAAAAAAATAAAGTGATGGAGTGGAAAAGAGTTGTTTCAGGTTCCCTTTATTTGCTTGTATAATATTTTCAATTATTCACCCCATTTTTATTTATTAACCTAAAACATTCTTACCTGACTCTCTATCATGTCCCAACTGTGTAATCCTAATGCCAACATTCGCAGCATTAATACCAATACAGAATTCTCCTGAAAAGCAAGAATATTTAGATTACTTTCAAAAATTCAAAATAAATTTGCCTTTAAAAATCATTACAAAACATCCTTTATGGCCCTATTATTATTTTTTGTTCATTTTTTTTTTTACCATACTGGCCATTTCCCACCAAGGTAAAGGTGACCCAAAAAAGTAAACACATTCACTGTCATTTATTCAATTGCTGTCTTGCAGAGGTGTGAGGACATCACAATTCAAATAATCCCATGAACTGCAACATCCCTACTCAACCTTCAGAGTGCATGCATTGTATTTCCCACCTCCTTTAAACACAAAGTACGAGTAATGGTAAGAAAGATCCTGGAGAGTATAATCTAGGTGTACATTATTGTCAATGAATAAGCCATTACTTAAATTGAGTACACTCATAATTCACAACTCGAAATGCACTATTTATTTCTATCAGTGCAGGAAGGGTGAATGATTTTACCCTTCCTGCAATGGTGAATGATTTCACCAAGACACAGCCATCATGGGGAAGAAATATCAGGGAAGCCTGATGATATGTTTGGTCAACTAATGCTGGACATTGATGCAGGAATGATGTAAATATCTTCATATGACAATGAAAATCTGATATTTTTATGTATGTATGTGTGTATAGTTCCTTTGTATAAAGGCAAAGGGGACAAAAGAGAGTGTAAGAATTATTGGGAAAAAGTCTGTTGAGTATACCTGGTAAGAATTAAGGGCAAGATGGAGAGCAGGACTGCCAATGAACAAAGAGACTTCAGAAAGGGCAGAGGATGTGTAGACCAAGTGTTTACATTGAAGCATATACGTGAACAGTATTTAGATAAGGGTAAAAAAGTTTTTGTTGAATTTATGGGTTAGGAAAAGGCATATGATAGGGTGGATAGGGGAGCAATGTGGCAGATGTTGCAAATGTATTGAACAGGTGGTAGGTTACTGAAAGCAGTTAAGGGTTTTTACAAGGATAGTGAGGCTCAATTTAGAATATGTTGGAGGGAAGGAGATTATTTTCTAGTAAAAGTAGGCCTTAGACAGGGATGTGTGATGTCACTGTGGTTGTTTAATATATTAATGGATAAGGTTGTAAGAGAAGTGAATGCAGGGGCATTGGGAAAGGTGTGGGGTTGGAAGAAAAAGAATCTAACACAAAGCTGGAGTTGCCCCAGTTACTTTCTTGATGGTGATATGGCACTTTTGGGAGATTTGGAAAAGAAGTTGCAAAGGTTGGTGGATGAATATGGGAGGGTGTGTCAAAGAAGGAAACGGAAAGTGAACATAGGAAAGAGCAGGGTGATGAGGGCAACAAAAAATTTAGGTAAAGAAAGACTGGATATCAGATTAGATGGAGGGAGTATGGAGGAAGGGAATGTGTTCAGGTACTTGGGGAATGAATTTGTCAGCAGATGAGTCTATGACAGATAAGTTGAACCATAGAATTGACAAGGAAAAAAAAGGCGAGTGGTACAGTGAGGCATTTGTGGAGATAAAGAGCATTATCCATGTAGGTAGAAAAGAGGAATGTATGAGAATACAGTGGTACCAATGGTCTTATATGGATGTGAAGCAAGGGTTGTGAATGTTGCAGCAAGAAGTAGGCTGGAGGCAATGAAGATGTCTTGTTTGAGGGCAATGTGTGGTGTGAATATTATGCAGAGAATTCATAGTTTGGAGATTATAAGAAGGTGCAGGGTTACTAAAAGTATTATCCAGAGGATTAAAGAGGGGTTGTTGAGGTAGTTGAGACATTCAGAGAGGATGGAACAAAACAAGATGACTTGGAGGACATATAAAGATGTAGTGGAGGGAAGACAGGGTTGTCATCCTAGGAAAGGTTGGAGAGAGAGAGGATAAAGGAGGTTTTGTGTGTGAGGGGCTTAGACATCCAGCAAGCACATGTGAGCATGTGAGATAGGAGTGAGTGGAGGCCAAGTAGCTTTTATGACTTGACATGCTGTTAGTGTGTGATCAAGGTAACATTTATGAAGGGATTCAGGGAAACAGGTTAGCCAAATTTGAGTCCTAGAGGAGGTAAGTAGTGCCTGCACTCTGAAGGAGGGGTGGGGATATCTGCAGTTTGGAGGGGCATCCAAATTGTAGTGTCGGTGAGCCACTGGCAAGACAGTGATGCAGTGAATGATGGTGAAAATGTTTCTTTTTCAGGTCACCCTACCTCAGTGGGAGATGGCCAGCATGTTTAAAAAGATTGTAAAACCAAAATATCACTGGCGCATTTATGCTGGTGTAACCAACAGGTGATCATTTTTCTTCCCAAATTAACTACACCATAAAATTGTAAGTTTTATCAGATTCCACTAATTTTCCTTTCATATAATTCATAAAGAATGGTCTTTGTCAATCTGTAAACAAAAATTTATTTTTCAATTTGTTGTCACATAAATTTCCGGGTATGCTACAGTCACTGATGGGCACAATTCTGCTAATCCGCTAAATAGCGGGACTAAATTTTTGTTTAGTGGATTAGCGTTTCTGCTAACTTCGGAAACCGTTAGAGGACCAATTAGCTTCAACTAAATAAAGTTCCTCTAACTTGAGTGTGCTAAAAAAATCACAGGTTGGCAGTAGGAAAGCAATGCCTTTTCAACGGCGCACGTGTTTGTTCCTGTCTGTTGTGGGCGTTTCTCTAGCAGTCAGTCAGGCATGCTATTGGCAGACTATGTGTAAACGTGACTTGTCACCACAGCAGCAGCAGTATCTGAGCAGCATTGTTATAGTCTTACAGTGTCAGCGATCACCGGGGTGCATTGTCACTTATTGTTATGAACAGGGGAGACGTTCTGTTAGGTTAGGGTGTTGTTGAGGAGTCTACAGTGGCTGTAGTTGAAGCAGAGGCTGCTCAGGCTGAGGGCCAGGAGTTGCAGAATCCATGGCCCTACCTGGATGACTATTTTGTCCTCAAGTCAAGGAATACGAAAAACGCCAATGTTTTGTACCTCTTGTGCGTCATGTGCCAGCCCAAGGAGACCATCATTAAGGGACAGGCGGTGAGCCTCTACAACTTGAAGTTGCATGTTAAGAGGAAACACCCAGCGCATGCCATCAAGTTTGAGGAGAGAATCAAGGCTGGATCTTTCCATGGAAAACACGGGCAATCTTCTTGTGGCAGTGCCACCAGCAGAAGCAGCAGCCAGTTGTCACAGCTGCCTGCAGAGAAAGCATGCCATACAACCACTGGCGAAGTGTTTGTTGCTGCTGGCACTAGCGTCTGTCAGTCTGTGGTGGACACAAAAGATTGTGGACCTATTTGTCTGCAACATGCTACCACTGCATGTAGTGGAATCCCCCACTTTGTCAGCCAGATCAAGACGCTGAACCCCAGCAAGATGTTGATGTCCCGCCGCACCCTGGGCAGGAGGATTTTGGTCAGCCATAAGCAGCTGGAGGAGTATCTTATAAGGTATTTATGAGTTATAAGTGCTTATTAGACTACTAGTACGTATCGCTTTTTTGATATTTTCTTAATTCTAGTAGGTATTGCAAGTTATGACATTTTAGAAGTGTACATTACTTTTCCCAGTGTTGTAAAGTAACGAAGTAAAACTATCTGAGTACTCTACTTCAGTAACTTTTCTCTGTTCTTACTTTTCAAAAATTGCTGATGATGTAATGAGTAACATATCATTATCAGATTGTAGTAAAGTAAAAGCAATAACAGACTTCAGTACTAAAGTAAAAGTAGTGAGCAATTTCAGTACTTTTTAAAAAGCAAATACCGAAAAAAGTTACTTAAGTATGTAGATTACTCAAGTAGTTTTACTTCATTACTTTACAACACTTGTGCTTATACTCGAGTATTAAAGATGAGTACTGTCTTCAACACTTGTGACCCCATGGCCTGGCTCGCAAAGCTCTCGCTTCACACACGGAGGGCATGGGTTTGATTCCCAGTGGGGTAGAAAAATTTCGACATGTTTCCTTACACCTGTTGTCCTGTTCACATAGCAGCAAGTACGTAGGTACCTGGGTGTTAGTCGACTGGTGTGGGTCGCATCCTGGGGGACAAGCTTGAGGACCCCAACAGAAATAGGACACAGTCCTCGACAATGCACTGCCTTTCTTGGATTATTCTGGATGGCTAATCCTGTGGGGTTAAAAATTTGAAAGAAATCTTATCTTATCACTGTCCTTTCCATTAGCCTAAAAAAATAACAAAATTTCACTTTTTATTAGGAAGCTCTCCAGGTCTGTTCTAAAGGTCTTCAAAGTAAAAGACCAAAAAACTAAATCGAATTTGAATTTATGTGAAAATGTTAGCGATTAGCGTTTAGCATTAACTTCCGCTAATTTTTTCAGCCATTTAGAGGTTTATCATTAGCGGAGATAATTTTTTAGTTAGCGGATTAGCGAAGCTAACTTTTTGGTTAGCTGTGCGCATCCCTGGCTACAGTTAAGGAGTGAAAAAGACAAACAAAATGTGACTAAAAAGAGATGGATATCATCCTAATTAAAAGCCAAATAGTATAAGATTAACTTACCCTTGGCATGGCTTCATTATTCATAAGATGTTGCAATAGTCGTATAACTGAGTTTGCCAAAAAGTTGATAGCATATGGATCACACAAAATCATTGAAAGATCCCCTAACACTTGCTCTTGACCACGTCTAATGCTGTCCAAGAAGCCTTGTAGTTCCCGAGACCTTAAAAATGCAGAGAAAATGCTATTTTACATTTAACTCTTAAACTGTCCAAACGTAGATCTACGTTTTCACTGCCAGCGCTCCGAATATTTTGATAAAAAAAAAAATTAAATTAAATTAAATTAACCCCTAAACTGTCCAAAAGTAGATCCATGTTCACTTGCGTAGCATCTGAACGTAGATCTATGTTTTTTTTTTACATGCTTTCAAATGGGGAAAATCAAGGTCGGAGCGCTACACGTGTAAACCTAGCTTTACGTTTGGTCAGTTTAAAGGTTAAAGAGAGCAATTTTTTGTGTGTAATAACACCAAAAAAAGAAAAAAAAATTTTAATGGTCAGTACTTACCAAGATATAAGACCGCAAAGTTGGCGTTGGGTGCTCACCTGACGGCAACACGAAGTCCTGCTATTTGCAGAAGTGCTGCCAATATACCTCTTTTCCTTGTTTTTTTTTTTTTTATTTATATAACTTTTATGTTCTGATAATTATAATTTGTACTAGTTTTCGTGATTTCATAGCCAATGCTTGTTCTGACACTAATATTAAGTACTCAAACAGTACTGAAATACAATGACAGGTGAACATTTTCACCTGCCTTGGTCATCTACTATTGTCTAGAAATACAGTGGTACCTTGACTTACAAGTGCCACAATTTACGAGTTTTCAGAGTCACGAGCTGTCCCTTGGTTGATTTTTTGCTCATTCTAGAGAATACGTCATGTTTCTATGTTATTTATATTGTTTATTGTGTCATATTAGATCAATTGTAATTGATAAATAAGCCGTAGAGTTGAAATTAGCGTTATATTGAAGTATTTTCTCCTGCCTCCCAAGAGCCAGGAATTCTGCTGGAACGGATTAATGGCACTTCATTTAATTTCAAAAAGGGAAACTGGTTTGATATACGTGGAACCTCAAAAATCGAACGTATCACATATCAAACGTTTCGAAAATAGGACCATTTTTTCGGACAAACTGTGTCCCTATTATCGAACGTGCCCCTATTTTCGGACCGCCGGGTACGGGACCTGTCTGCCGCCGCTCTGTCCGTGTCCCCGCACAGGTGCCGTGAACAGTTTAGCTTTGTTTATGCTTGAGTGAACACTAACCTGCGCTCTCATTCACGCATTTTACGATTATTTCGTTGTGTTCAGTGTTTGTGGGACTGTGAAATAAGCTGCCATGGGCCCAAAGAAACTTGCTAGTGGTACCCCTGTGGTAAAGAAAGTGAGAAACACCATAGATGCGAAGAAGGAAATAATACAGAAGTATGAGAGTGGTTTGAGACTTGTTGAGCTTGCCAGGATGTATGGGAAAAAAAAGTCGACCATCAGTTCTATCCTGTCAAAGAAAGAACAAATCAAGGAAGATGATGTTGCGAAAGGTGTTAATATAGGGAGTGGATGAGGTACCTTCTTCAAAGATTAAGGAGATTTGTGCCAAGTGGAATGATGTCCAAATGTTTGTGCAGAAGTACCACCCTGAGCAAGCTGAAACAAGCCATCTTTGCAACAAGTTCAGTGACAGAACCATGTCCCATTTTAGGGAAATGTTGAAGAGGCGCCAGAAACAGAGGACTGTGGACAGTTATTTTGTGAGACAGGGTCCAGTGACTCTCAAGCTGGTCCTAGTGGCATTAAAAGACAGAGAAGGGAAGTAACCCCAGAGAGGGCTTTACCTGAAGTCCTCATGGAGGGGGATTCTCCTTCCAAACACTAACCCCAACTCCCTCTCTCCTCCCTTTATCTTCCAGATGCCATCACCAATCTCCAATAAAGGTAAGTAAAAATGTTATTTTACATGTATTACTATACATAATTAAAAACTACAGTATTTGTTGTATGTAAAACTGTAATTAATCTCTATAAAATGTATTTTTTGTGTTAATATTTTTGGGTTTCTGGAACGGATTAATTGTATTTCCATTATTTCTTATGGGAAATATTGCTTCGAATTTCAGACTTTTCGAATTTAGAACTAGCTCCTGGAACGGATTAAGTTCGATTTTTGAGGTTCCACTGTACGAGCAAATTGAGTTACGAGCTAGGTCACGGAATGAATTAAACTCGTAGGTCAAGATACCACTGTATATACAAAGTACAATGGACCCTCAGTTAACGCCTGCATCGGATAGCGCCAAGATCAGATAACGCCTTGCTTTGGCGTGAAAAAATTGGCTCAGATAACACCTTGAAACTCGGTTAGGACTTTTTGTCCCGAACGTGTCGGCCCAGCAGCATGAGCGGGCCTGGCCACTCACTCCGTGTACTAGCCAGTGTGCCACTGTTTACAAAGCCAGTGAGAACAATTCCACATGTACATGTGATATATTTTGCATTATTCCATTGTTTTTGGTGCTTGTAACTGCTAAATAAGCCACCATGGGCCCCAAGCAAGCTTCTAGTGCCAGCCCTATGGTAAAGAATGTGAGAAACATACATAATTTAAGAAAAAGTTTGTAAAAAAATATGAAAATGGTGGTGGTAGAGGGTTGTAGTGATAGTGGTAGAGGGTGGTAATGGTGGTGGTAGAGGGTGGTAATGGTGGTGGTAGAGGGTGGTAATGGTGGTAGAGGGTGGTAGTGATGGTGGTAGAGGGTGGTAGCAATGGTGGTAGAGGGTGGTAGTGATGATGGTAGAGGGTGGTAGTGATGGTGGTAGCAATTGTGATGGTGGTAGAGGGTGGTAGTGATGGTGGTAAAGGGTGGTAGCAATTGTGATGGTGGTAGAGGGTGGTAGTGATGGTGGTAGAGGGTGGTAGTGATGGTGGTAGTGATGGTGGGAGAAGGTGGTAGAGGGTGGTAGCGATGGTGGGAGAAGGTGGTAGAGGGTGGTAGCGATGGTGGGGGAAGAGGGTGGTAGAGGTTGTGATGGTGGTGTGGTATGATAAGGCATGGCGAGGCTGCCAGTTCTGACAAAAAAGTGGCTGAAAAATATGTGCAGGACTTTAAGGGGTACACAGAGGCTGAAAAATTAACCCTTAAATGGTCCAAATGTATATATATATGTTCTCTTGCGCAGCGCCCCGAATATTTTGAAAAAAAAAAAAAATCTTTTTTTTTTTAATAGAAAAAAGAGCACTTTTTTTTAAGTATTTTAGAATACAAAAAAATTAGGGTCAGTACTTACAGAGATATGAGGCCGAGAAGTTGGCACTGGATGCTCACATGACGGCAACATCGAGTCCTGCCACTTGCAGAAGTGTTGCCGATATACCTTTTTTTCTATTTTTCATATTTTATATAATTTTTATGTTCTGATAATTACAATTTATAGTAGTTCTTGTCATTTCATAACCATTCTTTGTTCTGACACTAGTATTAGGTACTGAAATTGTACTCAAATTGTCACAAACACACTGACAGGTGGACATTTACACCTGCCTTGGTCATTTACTATTGTCTAGGAATATATACAAAGTATTTATAAGTCCCAGCAATGTTTTGGATAAGCAGAATATATAATAATAATAATAAGGTAGTAGGTCGGTAGACAACAACCACCCAGGGAGGTACTACCGTCCTGCCAAGGAAGTGTAAAACGAAAGCCTGTAATTGTTTTACATGATGGTAGGATTGCTGGTGTCTTTTGTCTGTCTCATAAATATGCAAGATTACAGGCATGTCTTGCTACTTTTACTTACACTTAGGTCACACTACACATACATGTACACATTTATTTATACACACTCATCTGAGTTTTCTTTGATTTTATCTTAATAGTTCTTGGTCTTATTACTTTTCCTTTTATATCCATGGGGAAGTGGAATAAGAATCTTTCCTCCGTAAGCCATGCGTGTTGTAAAAGTCAACTAAAATGCCGGGAACAATGGGCTAGTAACCCCTTTTCATGTAAAGATTACTAAAAAGAATAAGAAGAAGAAAATTGTCAAAGTGGGAAGTCTGAATGTGCGTGGATGTTGTGCAAATGATAAGAAAGAGATGATTGTGGATGTTATGAATGAGAAGAAACTGGATGTCCTGGCTTTAAGTGAAACAAAGCAGAAGGGGGTGGGAGAGTTTCAATGGAGAGGAATCAATGGGATTAGGTCAGGGGTTTCAAATAGAGTTAGAGCTAAAGAAGGAGTAGCAATAATGTTGAAGGATAAGCTATGGCAGGAAAAGAGGGACTACAAATGTATAAATTCAAGGATTATGTGGAGTAAAATAAAGATTGGATGTGAAAAGTGGGTTATAGTAAGCGTGTATGCACCTGGAGAAGAGAGAAGTGTAGAGGAGAGAGAGAGATTCTGGGGAATGTTGAGTGAATGCGTGGGGAGTTTTGAATCAAGTGTGAGAGTAATGGTGGTTGGGGATTTCAATGCTAAAGTGGGTAAAAATGTTATGGAGGGAGTAGTAGGTAAATTTGGGGTGCCAGGGGTAAATGTAAATGGGGAGCCTTTAATTGAGCTATGTGTAGAAAGAAATTTGGTAATAAGTAATACATATTTTATGAAAAAGAGGATAAATAAATATACAAGGTATGATGTAGCACGTAATGAAAGTAGTTTGTTAGATTATGTATTGGTGGATAAAAGGTTGATGGGTAGGCTCCAGGATGTACATGTTTATAGAGGGGCAACTGATATATTGGATCATTATTTAGTTGTAGCTACAGTTAGAGTAAGAGGTAGATGGGAAAAGAGGAAGGTGACAACAACAAGTAAGAGGGAGGTGAAAGTGTATAAACTAAGGGAGGAGGAAGTTCGGGCGAGATATAAGCGACTATTGGCAGAAAGGTGGGCTAGTGCAAAGATGAGTAGTGGGGGGGTTGAAGAGGGTTGGAATAGTTTTAAAAATGCAGTATTAGAATGTGGGGCAGAAGTTTGCGGTTATAGGAGAGTGGGGGCAGGAGGAAAGAGGAGTGATTGGTGGAATGATGAAGTAAAGGGTGTGATAAAAGAGAAAAAGGTAGCTTATGAGAGGTTTTTACAAAGCAGAAGTGTTATAAGAAGAGCAGAGTATATGGAGAGTAAAAGAAAGGTGAAGAGAGTGGTGA